AGAGAGAGAGAGAGAGAGAGAGAGAGTCAAAACCAGCCATCAACCACATGAAAAACAGAGAGTCTTGCAACACATGGTGTGGCCCTCAAAGAGCCCTGTTCTTAACATCATCTAGTCAGACTGGGATCACATGAAGAGAAATGAGACACCAAGACTGACTGAATCCACAGAAGATCCTCAGCAGGTTAGGTTCTCCAGGATGCAGAGCGACCTTCAAAGAAGCTTGAAAAACTGTGTGCAAGTGTACCAAGATGAAAAGCACTCACAGCAAACGGTGATTGGATTTAGGGTTTTACTCTTTACTACACTTTGAATAAAGGTAGCTGGTAAATAAAACTACTCATGGTATTATTTTTGACAGCCTCCCTAAAACAGCTGTATAGCAGGTCTTGTGTAAGTACGAGGTATCTCACTCATATCTATATCATTTAACAGGAACGGGGAAAAAACAACAACAAAAAAACAAAAACATAGTGCTCAAGTTGATTTGTCTTTCATTTTCAGTGAACCGGCATGCTATGTCCATGTTATGTGCCCTCTGAAGCTGCAAAAAGCAAGATGAGGAATGCTGGCTGCCTGCTTCCCCTCCTGTCAGTCTTAAAACTATAACCCCTATACCGCACATCCGAGGGAAGCATTGTACTTTTTACTTTACTACATTTATTTGACAGCTTCAGTTATTTTTCTAAATAATATTTTTTTGTACACAAACATATAAAGAACTTCTAAAATATAATGTTTAGTTATTAAATAAACTCACCAACAGTTTATATAGAGTACAGTTGTAACGATTAGTTGATCAATTAGTCAGCTGACAGAAAACTGACAACTTTTATGACAACAGTTTAGAGCACTTGTGACAGCATTTCTCATTATTATTTTTTTTACAATCATTGACAGAGAAAATAATCAGCAGGTCATTCACTAAACAATCAGAAGTTGCAGTTAATTAAAAATAAATAAATAAATAAATAAAATAAAAAGTTTAAAAATGAACTGCAGCTCAGCCAGCTACAGCAGTTCAATCCAACTTTCACATTAAGGAATGAGTATCCTGTTAAAAACAGTCCAGCAAATAGCAGGCTTCAGGGAAGGTTCCCTAAGGGTTACTTTGTGAAACCTCGAGAGTCTTCAGGGAATGTTTACTACAGAATATTTTGTAAACCTTCAGAACCTGTTGTCTTGCTTTGAATACTTTTGTATTCAATACTTTAAGTAGTCTTTGGGACAATACTTTCTTTTCCTTAAACAGTGTTTTCGATGCAGGGCGTTCATTTGTGGATGTCTTGCAGGATGCTGTCGGTGCCGTCAGCTGAGCACTGGCTCTGAACACCTCCTCCACACATGTTGACCTCAACCTGTGACTGGAGAAGGTCAATGGAGAAGTAGGGCTTCCCAAATAAACTCTTTTTCCTTCCCCTTTGCAAATTCCAATTTTCAGTGACTTGTAAAGAAAGGTGTATGAAAAAGATGAGACAGTACAAAGCTCAGCGGCTGTCAGTTCTGCAAATGAAACAGACGAAACCAGAAACCTAAACGCTCACATTGATCTACTTAATCAACTCAACTGGCCTTTTAATGAGGGTTTGCACAAATTACATTACACGATGACTGGAGTGAAATATGCATAGATCAACTTTAAAAATGTTGACATGAAAAAATACTGAACGTAGGAATATGTGTGAAACTGAAAATATTCTGGATGTAACGGGATATCCAGGGTGTTGTCTCCTCCTAGCGGCGCTGCTTAAACATTGCAGGTAGTCGCCATCTTCCGTCGCTGCTTGATGACGAAAGTGTCGTCGATGAAGGTCGACAGACAACACATCAACACATTGTGCAAGTGTCCGAGCACAGCAGAAAGCAGGTCGTTGTTGCGTCTCTCCAGTTCGCCTCCAGACATGTATCTTGTGCGTTTGTGTGCTTCAACCAGCAGACGTTTGGTTTTTAAGAATCTGTCCGTGGAGTCCGTCCTCACAGGTCGGTCAGCTGGGCTCAGGTCCGCTAGCCTGTTGTTGTTGTTGTTGTTGTTGTTGTTGTTGTTGTTGTTGTTGCCGCCTTCATGTGAGCCGGGACTACATTCACCACCTGATGTTTTCAACACTACCAGCAAAAGCCAGAATTACTCAGTAGCTTTAATATGAATGTCATCACAGTACTGTTAACCAGGGCTAATTCAGATCTTATGATGGCACCATGTTATGCTGCAGACAGACAGACAGATGGACAGTATGCAGCAGAAGTGAGTCCAAGCCTGTCAGATATCACTTCCACCTCAAATATATCAAAACTGTATAATCTCTCATTAACAGCATTATTTCTCAGCAGAGTGTTTCCTCTCATGTCCAGGTTCCAAATTAGAAACCCGGTGTTCCTTTATACACAACAGACTCCTCCTGTGAACAGCCTCACTGCGTGTCGATGGTTATACATTTAGTTGTGAGAACCAGAACTGTGTCAGCTGTGGACCTATAGGCTATGTCTATCTGCATGTCTGCATCATTACATGGAAAAGAAATCCCGGTGAAAGTGAAAAATGTGAATCGGGAAACACAGTGACGGCAGTAACCAGGAGCTCCTAGTGCCACTAATCTGAGACTCAGTCATGGTTCTTCTAAAGGATGCCGAGGACGATTAAGTCTGTCATCAAAGATAATATTGAAAAAAATGAAAGATTTGAAGCTCAGCAATGAAAAATACACAGACTTGAGTGGCATTGAGTTTTTACTGGGGGGGGGGAACTGTATTTTTAATATAGTAATTCTTAACTGCTCGTTTTTAATAAATGCTGTCGTGTTGAACTGTTACCATGAACAGTTACTGAGAGGTGACACAGTTTTGATTCACTTGACATTTAAACAACATTGCACAAGGGTGTGCTCACTTTGGTTGTTAACTGTACACATTCTATGAATGGCCCTTTTTTTTTATTTTTTTATTCTGAAGTCCCTGTTGTCATTTTCAGGATGTTCACGGATGGCCAGTGGAGCAGTCGAGGACAAGAAACCGCTGAAGAAAGCTAAAACCCCACAGGGACGGTTTGACAGCCTTGACGACAAGAGCAAAGATGTTCTGGAAAGTAAGATTACTTTTGCTTGCTTAAGACTACTGTTTGTCACTATAAAAACCACACAAACTCAGATAAAGTAGAATAAAGTACTGCCATAGAATTATAACTCATCAGACTGAAAAAACCTTTGAAAAAGCCTTCAGATGATTAATCAGCACTCAAAAATAAGATGTGTTTAATTAAGAAAATGTAAGGTTCTACAGTATTCTATAAATTCTATAATTACTTTTATTGTTAAAATAACTGAGCTTCAGTGATGATATTGAGCAGTGGCGGCAGTTAACTGAATAAATAAGTGTAATCATGCCTCTGCATTAGATTCATTGATATTGATTTCAATACCAGCTGTTGGTACATCAGTAGAAAAAAAACTTTGTTTCCCAGCACCCCACCACACAAGCACATTTGTTTTGACAGTAGAAGAATTACACTTGTCAGTCTTAAAGGTTTGCCTTTTATCTGATACATGAACTGATCCTTTTGACATTACATGCATTGTGTCAACTTTGTTATGCCCTCCAAGTTTAGGCTGTGCAACCCAACAATAAATCCTGCCTACATAAATCTTTAATGTTTAGTTTAGTGTTTTTTATGCTGTACAGGCTGTATGTTGCGTTTCTTTTGAGTTGCAATGCATTAAACTGAGATGCATTTCTAATACTTTATCAACCCCATTTATACAGCGTATGCAGACTCACCTCATAGGAGTACATTAAATAATTCATCAACAGCACAGACTACAGCCTCCAAAATGATCATGAACTTAAATCAGTGTGAAAATTCGCTTTGAATTCTTACATTCTTGGAAACAAATTCAAAGTTCACATACTTGGTTCTCCCAGAACTTTCTTCTGCTTCTCACAAGGCTTAGTTTTCTCAGTTGTTATTACGTGACAGTATTAAACTCCATCTGCTAGGAAAGGGTGTGCAATGTGGTTGAAAGTTTAGGAAAATGCAAGTAAGTTTACCTTGGGTAAAGATTTTTCGTCTATGCTACATTCAACCCCTCATGGAGGAGTGAGTTAGAATTTGTTTTATCCAGCTAAAGCTAATAAACTGGACTCTGTGTGCAGTATAAACTGAAGAAAAAGCAGTCATAGACGGCAAATATCTGAACTAAAGCAGCATCTTTTATTTTGAATTATTTTCTTCTTGTCATTCAGAGTTTCCTGATGATGTGAATCCTGTGACCAAAGAGAAAGGGGGTCCTCGGGGTCCAGAGCCCACCCGCTATGGAGACTGGGAGAGAAAGGGCCGCTGTGTTGACTTCTAGTTCATTCCCTGTAAATGTGATATGTTCCACCTATATTATGTCTGTGTAGACAGATGTACTTGTTGAGGCTGTTTTGGCTTTGAAGTCAAATCTCTTTTTTTTTTAAGTTTTTCAATCAGAAGGTTAACATGAGGCAGAGATACAAACTGTAACTGTGTTAATACTCACAGGGAGCTTGGTGAATGTTTAGCTTCAATTTTGGACAGCAGTGTAACATGTCCATTTCAACTTGTTTTTTTTCCATAAATGTTTCTTTATGGGCCATGCTGACTTTGTTGTCCCTACCTCAACTGTAGACAGAGAAAGAAGGACTTGTGCTATATGTGACATATATTGATGCAACTTTCATGGTATTTTGTTACATATGTATGGCTGCAGAGTAACAAGGGAGTACCCGTAAGTTTCCAGTTGCAGGGCAAAAAATTGCTTCATCCATACTGTGCAGTTTTCCCTGACAGACACCACACCTACAGCTAGACAAAGATGTTTGTTCTGGCTAATTGATCTGCAAAATGATGAAAGCACTTCTCTCAGATGTCACACTGTTTTTATTGTGGCTTTTTAACCTCAAGCTAATTATTCAACACAATTGTCGTGTTTTGTCTCAGCTGCCATTGCAAGTTTAGATCATAATGATTGATGACAACAGATGCTGGTGTTTCTTGCTGGTGAGACACATATTGTTGTCTGTAAAATTGTGTTTTACATTTTGTGATCTCTTTTCTCTACCGTGCAGAGAGCCATCTAGTCTTCCTGGCCGCGCTCTTTTCTTGACGTGCACAGCATCGTCAGCATCTGTTTTCTAAGCCTATCACTGTTGTGGTGGTCTGCACTCACTCTCTGCAGCAATAGATTTCATACTCAGTCAGCTGTGGAAAGCGGTGGGTACAGGAACACCATCAGCTTCCCAGCATACATTATTAAAATGCTTGTGAAATGACAATTGTTGTTTTAATAATCTAACAGTACATCAGATGTTTAGACTTTTTGCAGAAGATCGTTTATCAGCCTCATGTAAATTGGTAAGTCTGAGTAAACATCCAGGGTGGCTACGTTACCCTGGTGGCAGATCTCTCTTATCTATCTGATCTATCTGTAGTTTATCAAAAAGGCTGTTCCATTTGACAGTTATTTTTTGCATTGTTAGATAAAAGGTGATACAAAAAAACAAAAAAAAACATTAACTAGAAAGACTCTCAGAGAGTACATCCTCTACCAAGGCCAATGCCCTATCAGTTGTAACCAAAGTGGTTATAATTATTGTGTTCTTCTCATGACTGTGCTCCAACTCTTAACCACATTTCATTAAATTCAGTTTGGTAGTTTTTGTGTAACAGACTGACAGACAACCCACAATAATCACATACCTCTGAGTGTTGGAGGAATTACCAAAATTGATCTCTAATTTGTCACTTTTGACTAATTATCCAATCAGTTCAGCTCCACATAAATTGTTGGTTGAAGGATATGAGGGTCATTTATCCCAAGAGCCCCCTCGGAGGGTAGTCCATCCTGGCTCCAGATATCGACATTCTGTGTTTACTTTGGGTCAGACAAGGGCTTGCATGGAAAGGCTTACACTGCTTAGCCCAGTATGTGTTGTTCTGTGCAAGTTCTTGTTTTCCCAAATCTCTGGAATAGAGGTGACAAGAGCTACAGTAGATCCGTAGAGCTACAATGACTTGCAATAAGTGTATCCGGTCTGATAAAGTTGTGCACTCCGTTAACTGGGCTGTGCTCAAAAAAAGAGTTTCAAAATATTAAGGATGTGAACTTCAAAGGTGGACTTTGTACACTGTTCTGCTGCAGGTGAGAGTGAGACATGAGTGAGTGCTGCTCCTGTACACTCACTTTATCGTGTTCATAGGTATGAATATGAAGGGGATTCTGTATACAAGACCTGAATGTTGATCGCACAGATGTGGTCAAAATTATTGAAACTGACCAAAGTAATTGGTATCCTCTGTTCTCTCGATAGATAGAAACTTTATTGCTCCTTTTCAGGAAATGATTTTGTTACAGGAATTACAATCACAGTTAAGAACCCACATATAATGCTAAACAGATGATTTAATCAAATATTCAAACAACTTTTCTCAAAAATACAAAAACTTACTGAAGACTTAGAAGCAGGTAATAAAAAATAGTTGTGGTATGTAAATGTGTAAAATATACAGTATAGAAAATATGCAGTGCAAAACTGTAGACAATCTATAAAGAAATGTACTGCATGCATGGGGCACCCCGCTACCTCAACTGGATAAGACGACGACCCATATACAGGGCTGTAGTCCGCGATTCAGTGGGCGCAGTTTGAGTCCAGCCAGCAGCTCATTTGCTGCATGTTCTTCCCCCACTCTTCTCCCCATGTTTCCCTGTCATATACAGGCAAAAAAATGTCCAGAAATAATCTTTAAAAACATATCTATACCTCATGCAAGACAACTTGCATATCTAAAATCTCCATATAACATAAAATACAAAATATATAAACAAGCATGGAACAGTCTTTAAAATATATGTAACATCTGTATAAATCTACATCAATGATATAAAGTTGAAACCAGAAGTTTACAGACACTGTATAAAAAGACAAAACATTTTTTTTATCACTGTCTGACATTAAATCAGACTAAACTTTTCCTCATACAGTTTAAAGGCAATGCTACCAAATACTAAGGAAGTGTACTAAACTTCTGACTTTGAAGAAAGTAATAAATCATTCTCTAAAAAATTCTCTCCCTCATTATTCTGGTGTTTAGCAAATACAAATAATGTTGGTAATCCTAACTGACCTAAAACAGGAAAAGAGCAGTCTGATTTATTGTCAGACAGTGAAAAAAAAAAGTTATATGTCTTTTTATACAGCGTATGTAAACTTGAAGTTTCATGTCAAGGTGCAACCACATGTCCACAGTTATAAATATTGGATATGGAATCCAGATAATAAAAACACAACCAGAACATGTGCCACCACCTGGGCATCACACATGACAGCATGATATAGCATTTTGCTTTGTCAGGTTGATTTTTCGTAGAATGTATTTAAGGTTAACTTTGCCATAACAGCTTGAAGCAATGAGAAATAAGTCAGATGTTTCCTTGTGGTAACTAAAATGATCTCTGTAATCACATATTTGCATTTAATTTCCAGAGATATTAAGTTATTAGAAAGCAATACTAAAACTATAACAAATACTGAATACATTATTAGAAGTAAATTCTTTCAGGACTGTGTGTATCGGTTAGGAAGTAGAAAATCTGTTTTAAAGGCTTTTGTAGTTTACTGTCTGCTTTGTGTGTCATCCCCTTAAAGAACTCAACAGACACAGATGTACTGTAGTTCTACTCATCGGGGGAGTTGAAGCAGTGAGCTACTTCAGTCTGATGAAAGTTATAATGAGCTCATGTATTTGTCAACACATCAAAATGTACTTTGTCTTGCTGCTGATTCTCTATTTGTAATAAATCTGAATTGTCGACCTACATTCGTTGACTTGATATTTTTGTCCACATCTAATGTGGGAAACACCAGTGTTGTGGACATTTTTGTATTTTCTGGGCCTGGTTCAGACAGAGGACTGCTGTTTTCCTTCCTGCTGGGTGATTGACAGCTCCCTATCAGTGCACTTATCATTTGAATGTCAAGGACTTCCAGAAAACCCCATTTTTGGGTGACTGATGGAAGCCAGTCAGCAAATGAAGAGACAGAGAGCGTGAAAGAGAGAGAGTGGGTCAAAGATGAAACAAGAGCAAACAAGCCTCACTCTTAGTTTAGCCAAGCACAGTAAGTGCTGGCTGGTGAAAGTGACTGGAAGCTGGATAAAAGTCAGTCCAAACTATGTCTAAGCTGAACATATTAATGTTGTTCTTGTTGTTGTTAAATTTTTTTCACCAAATGAAATGAATCTACAAACATGTAAGATGTCCATCAAATTGTTAAATAAGTGTTTCCTGAGAAAGGTCAGAAAGGTTATGTGTCATTTTATACAGTGTATGCAAACTTCTGGTTTCAACTGTATATATACAATACTTAACAAATGTATTAGCCCACCACCTAAGGTTTATGACACAGCTGGTCTAAATGATAGAGGTGATTAAGATGCCAAATCATATTTATTTACTTGCATTCCTGAACAGAAATTTTTGTTTTAGTAGTTGAATGTGATGCTTAATGAATTTCTGACTTCTCAGAGAAGCCCAGTTAGCCGGCTCAGATTTGGGTATAAAAAGGTGAATTCAATTTGAAATTCCTCACTCCTGTTCAAAATGGTAGGACGTCAAGAGCTCACTGAAAATAAAAGGGGCCATTAAACACTTCGTGATACTGGATGGTCTCTGAGACAAACAGGGAAAGACATAATGTGTTCTCACAGTGGAGTCAAGTATGATTTGGAGTCAATAGTCGAGACTGGTACTGACAAAATGCTCCAAGGAAGAGGCAGGAATCGAAACTTAACTGAAGCCAGACAGAAGTCAGACACCTCAAGATCTGAAGGACTAGAGACAGAAGGAAGCTCATGCTGATTGTCAGGCAGAGATGAATGCTTCTAGATCAGAGTCTGAGAAAGTCTCCAGAATGACCATAAGAGGCGACTGATGGAACAAGGCTTAAAGGGAAGAAGAGCTGCTAAAAAGCCATTATTGAGGCCTGCAAACATCCAGAAACACCTCAGATTCGCAAGTGAGCACAAATACTGGACTGTTGGTGACTGGAAGAAGGTCCTCTGGACAGACAAGTCCAAGTTAGAACTCTTCGGTCAGCATTGTCGTTTTTTATTAATGTTTTTAGAACGTTTTGATGCCAGATGCATTGCACCCACAGTGAAACACGGTGGAGGTTCCATTACGGTATTGGGTTCCATCTGTGTAAACAACATGGGCAAATTAGTGAGAACAGACGGCATCATGAACGAGAGCGTCCACCACAACCTGTTAATGCATCATGGAATCCCTTCTGGACTGAATCTGATTGATCGTGGGTTCATATAACAAAGCTGTGCAGAGATTATTTCCATCCATCCATTATCTACACTCACCTGTCCAGGGTGTCCCCTGTCTTCGCCCTAAGTCGGCTGGGATAGGCTCCAGCCCCCCCGCGACCCTAATGAGGATTAAGCGGTGTATAGAAAATGGATGGATGGCATTATCTACACTCACCAGCCACTTTATTAGGTACACCTTACTAATATCGCGTTGGACCCCTTTTTGCCTTCATAACTGCCTTAATCCTTCATGGCATAGATTCAACAAGGTACTGGAAACATTCCTCAGAGATTTTGTTCCATATTGACATGATAGCAACACGCAGTTGCTGCAGATTTGTCGGCTGCACATGTGATGCAAATCTCCTGTTCAACCACATCCCAACGGTGCTCTATTGGATTGAAATCTGGTGACTGTGGAGGCCACTGGAGTACAGTGAACTCTTTGTCATGTTCAAGAAACCAGTCTGAGATGATTCGCGCTTTATGACATGGCGCGTTATCCTGCTGGAAGTAGCCATCAGAAGATGGGTACACTGTGGTCATAAAGGGATGGACATGGTCAGCAACAATACTCAGGCAGGCTGTGGCATTGACACGATGCTCAATTGGTACTAAGGGGCCCAAAGTGTGCCAAGAAAATATCCCCCACACCATTACACCACCACCACCAGCCTGAACCGTTGATACAAGGCAGGATGGATCCATGCTTTCATGTAGTTGATGCCAAATTCTGACCCTACCATCCGAGTGTCGCAGCAGAAATCGAGACTCATCAGACCAAGCAACATTTTTCCAATCTACTATTGTTCAATTTTGGTGAGCCTGTGCGAATTGTAGCCTCAGTTTTCTGTTCTTAGCTGACAGGAGTGGCACCGGGTGTGGTCTTCGGCTGCTGTAGCCCATCCGCCTCAAGGTTCGACGTGTTGTGCATTCAGAGATGCTATTCTGCATACCTCGGTTGTAATGAGTGGTTATTTGAGTGACCGTTGCCTTTCTATCAGCTCGAACCAGTCTGGCCATTCTCCTCTGACCTCTGGCATCAACAAGGCATTTGCGCCCACAGAACTACCGCTCACTGGATATTTTCTCTTTTTCGGACCATTCCCTGTAAACCCTAGAGATGGTTGTGCGTGAAAATCCCAGTAGATCAGTTTCTGAAATACTCAGACCAGCCCGTATGGCACTAACAACCATGCCACGTTCAAAGTCACTTAAATCACCTTTCTTCCCCATTCTGATGCTCAGTTTGAACTGCAGCAGATCGTCTTGACCATGTCTACATGCCTAAAATGCATTGAGTTGCTGCCATGTGATTGGCTGATTAGAAATTTGCGTTAACGAGCAGTTGGAGAGGTATACCTAATAAAGTGGCCGGTGTGTGTATACACCGCTTAATCCTCACTAGGGTCACAGGGGGATGGAGTCTATCCCAGCTGACTTAGGGCAAAGGCAGGGGACACCCTGGACAGGTCGCCAGTCTATCGCAGGCCTACACAGAGAGACAGACAAACAAGCACACTCACAGCTTAAATAATTCTGCGTTGAGGAGAGGGGCAAACTTTCCTCGGACCGAGCTCATTGACTGGTACTGGGCCATCCAGAAAGAATAAAAACATTTTATTTTTTAAATTTTATTTCCGGCGGAGTCTGCAGGATTTTTATTTTGAAAAATAACTAGCTCGTTCAACGTCACCTCCGTCTGTGCTTGTTTCCCGCTACTTGACTGTAGTTTTCCTGCCCGGAAGTTAACCCGAGCCTTTAATCTAACAGCTGCCAAAAAAAAAAAAAAAAACGTCTCTGCAGAGCTTCTTTGAAAGAGGGAGAGACTCGATGCTGAGACACAAAAAAGTAAACACATATTTATCAATTAAAAGTAATTCGTGCAGGAATAGATAAGACAATTATAATTTTTTTGTGTGCGCGATGACTGGTCCATAGAGAATTGTCTTGCTTGAAACCGGTCCGTGGTGCAGCAAAGGTTGGAGACCGCTGTCGTAAAGTGAACATTTGTAATCGTCACACTGAGGGGCAGTAAAGAGCCACATCTGCCTGCTCCTCCTGTTGAATGCTGCGTGGCCTTCAAGTACCGCCAGCAATGTTGTAACTACAACAATTAAGCCCACGAATGAGTACAATAAAGACGGTATTTTTTTTCTGTTGAACTGTGCCTTGAACTGTGCTCGTATTCCAAACACTACATGTCACATACGTGGTATAATACACAACTGCGACCCTTTTCTTTCAGAAAGACGAGTATTATGCTGTTTGCTTATTCCTAATGTTATTATTAAAAAATCGTATCTGGGTGGAGGCCTTGAAGGCAGCATGGCTGAAGGCGCTACAAAGAGGAGACGCTGGGAGCTCGACCACTCTGCTAAATGGGGTAAATATGTATATGTATGTATATGTATGTCAGGTTTTCACTCGCAGACAGGGCTGTAACGGTTGCTGCAAGGATTTAGCAGTCAGACGACATAACTGCACATTTTAAATAAATGACTGTTGGACTGACTTCCGCCAAACACATTATCGGCATTGGGCGGAAGAAGTGAGATACTAAAAATGAGTGGTTTCGTTTGGTGGACCATTATGGTGCCGAATTCACAGGAAGATCCCACAGAACTGTGAGACGGGCTAACATGGGTTCTACTGGCGATGTACGTTTGTCGATAAGGACACATTTAATTGCAAAACTGTTAAAACGAGTGCAATACGGGTTGTGCAGTTTTCATATTACAGGCATCGCAGTGGACACTGCATTATTTATAGGTTATTGTCTCAGGCTTCAGTCAGCCCCTTAAGTGTCTGTCATCTTCACCGGTATACTTGTCTGGGCACCGGTTGAACAGGACCAAGCGCAGGACCGGGCCGTTAGCAGCTCTCTAACCGGACTACAATGGCTCCGCTCCGTGCAGGTCGCTGATGTTTGGTGTCACGGCTGGTTGCCATGGCTACCGTGTGTTTGGCATCCTGCGTGTGTGTACGTTGGAACAAAGGTAAAGGTGAAGCTAGTGGAGCTGCACGATATTGGAAACAATTTCATTGTATTTTGCGAATGGTTTTACAGAGCATTATATTTATGTGAAACAAGAGAAAGCATTCCAGTTCAGCAAAGAAGCAAGTTTAGTTAATCCTGCAGTCTTTGATTGATGTTTTCAATTCAGTTTAATTTTATATATATATAATCAGGTGAAGACCTTACACATTTTAAACAGAGAAACCCAAAAAATCCACAGTTTCCTCTGGGTTCCCTCTGGAATCTAGCATCACCCTCTCTAGGCTATAGCAATGGAAACCATGATGGAGGATACAGTGAGAGGTCTACCCATCACCACTCCAATTCCTGAGAATAAGAAGATGGGGGAAAATAGGTGGCACTGCCATGACTGAGACATCACTGGGATTTTGAAAATGTCCCCTTTTAGCAGTCTGCATAAATGTAGTGAAGAAGTCAGTGGGTATGAGACCCTGGTTTACCAGTGGACACTTTGTTGTAAACCTGGACAAAGTTAAGCAAAACTATCTGCATGGCATAATACTGCTAGAGTGGAAAACTATCTATTGTTCATAAAGTGGTTTAACTGGTCCTTTAGGCACAATATTCAGTCTTGGTTTGACCATTAACTGCAGCAGTGAGTTCATGCTCTGTACAGTAAATACTGGGACTAATTTGGGCAACAGATCCTATTGTGCCGTTTCTATCAGATATTGTAATTTCATTAAAAAGAGATTTTTTTTTTATTCTTAATGTCAAACTTAAGTTAAGTATTTACTGTGTAATAGATTTGAAACATCTGATGAAGCATTACCATTTGAAATAAAATGAAATATGTGACTGTCACACAAGGAGAACAGCATGAAATTGCAAAATTTTTGACACAACAGTTAAGCTGCACTGTATGAGGTGTGCAGCCTTTGCAGTTTGCTAATTGTTTTAAATCCAAATCTTGATTTGAGATCGATTATATGTTTAGCCCTAGTAATTTCAGCGCCATGGTCACCATTTTATAGATATTTTGAATTTCTTTGACTTTCAGTATACTAAGATGTAAAACATCACAGTCTAGATGCCTTGGTGACCACAGGCTCATTGTTGACCAGACACTGACATCGCACACTGTGTACTGAAATTCAAATATAGTTTCCTCTTGTTGATATATAAAGTGGGCATTCTGTCAGTTTGCTGAAGTAAAAAGGAAGTAATAAACACACTGCAGCTCTGTTATTGCAGTAAGCCAGAAGCAGCTGTGTTAACTGAAAGCATATGTTAATAAGCATACAATAGTTGATTAATTGATTTGTCTATTAACTTAATCAGCAACTAGTCTAATGATTGAATGTTTTGAGAATAGAATGAGTTATTATAATTGTAATATTTGTATCGCTTACCTTCTGGTAATCAAACATGATGATTTAGCTTTTCAAATGGGAGGAATTTGTTGAGGGCTGCAGGGTGGCGCAGTTGGTAGCACTGCTGCCTCGCAGCAAGAATGTTGCCGGTTCGCGTCCCGGTGGGGGCACCGGAATCTTTCTGCGTGGAGTTTGCATGTTCTCCCCATGCAGCGTGGGTTCTCTCCTGGTTCTCCGGCTTCCTCCCACACAGTCCAAAAACATGTTGAGGTTGATTGGTGATTCTAAAATTGTCCGTAGGTGTGAGTGTGCTTGGTTGTCTGTCTCAAGGTGTGGCCCTGTGATAGACTGACGACCTATCCAGGGTGTCCTCTGCCTTCGCCCTAAGTCGGCTGGGATAGGCTCCAGCCCCCCGCAACCCTAGTGAGGATTAAGCGGTGTATAGATAATGGATGGATGGATGGAATTTGTTGAACTGGCTTTGGACAGTAGGAAACTGTGATGGATATTTTTACTGTTTTCTGATGTTGTATAGACCAAACAGTAAATCTAAGTAATAACTCTCAGATTAATCAATAATGAAAATAATTCTTGTAGCATGGTTCTGCTGTCAGTGTTGGTGACTTTTTGGGTCGAATATATTTTTGTATTATTCTTTGTCCCTTTTGAGACAAATTTTTGCACTTTGGGTGTCAGAATTTTTCTCCTCCTTTTTTTTTTTTTTTTTAAAAGACATTTTGGACCCATGAAAACATCTAAACAGCACACAAAAACAAATTCACACAAACCAATTGTGGTTGGCATGAGGGAGAAACACTATGAAGTTTATCTTAACTTAAACAGAAATGGGTTTTATGACATTGCTGCTACATCAATCTGTTAAAGTGACAGCATTCTGTCATTCAGAGATACAGTTGATGTCCACATTTTTAGCCCCCCAATAAAATTTTTGTTTCTTTTTTCAACAGTTTCCCAAGTGCTGTTTAACAACTCAAGGATTTTTTTTACAGCTTTTCCAAACATCCTAGTTTTATTTTAGATGCTACATTATTTTACTTTGCACACAGAAACACATTTATTGAACAAAAAACAAAAACTACCAGGGTCAAAATTGTTAGCCCCCTTGTTGCTAATAGTTAGTTGTGTATCCTTTTTGCTGGATAACAGCTTGCAGTTGTTTGTTGTAGTTTGTAACAAGTCTCTGACACATCTCCTGAGGAATCCCAGCCCATTCTACCTCGGCAAATCTCTCAAGCGCCTCCAGATTTGATGGTCTTCTGGCATGGACCCTGGTCCTCAGTTGACCCCACAGATTTTCAGTGCAGGCCAGTCAGTTACTTTGGTCTTCTGAGGGTAATTCCTCACCAGAAGTGATGTATGTTTTGGGTTGTTGTCATGTTGAAAGACAAAGCAACAACCCAGACACAGGGGCTAATAATTTTGTCCCCAGCTGTAGGTCACACAATATTTTTTCACACAGATGGAACTAGACAGTACATCTTATGGTGCACATTGCATTGTAATACACTAAAAGAGACTAAATCAAAACTAATAGCAGCTTATCACACTGTTGAAATAATGAATATCCTTGTTTATGAATGATTTCCCTAAACAATCAAAATTCAGTCCGTATGTGATGATAACCTAACTACTACTTTAACATGAGTAAAAGTAAAATTCCCCTAAGGCTGTGATGCTCAGGACTGAGGATGGCCGCCGTACAACAAATAATTTAAATGCAGGTGATGAACTGTGGCTGTGAGTGTGACAGCACCTCTGCTTGAGGTGAAGAAAAGTACACCGTGACTAAAATCCTGATCTCTCCCTCCTGTCTCCATGTTGGCGATAACTTATAATTATAAGTACTTGATGAAGTTACTACTGTTGTTTCACAGGTGTAGCTATATGCAACTCATTTACTTTGGAGTTGCTCGTGTGGAGGGATCAGTATCAGATGAGAGAATCAGATCAGTACATGTGTATAGATACCACATTAAAAAGCATGTTTTACTCTTTGGTGTGGAAAGGTGAAGAAAAAGTATGAATTTTGGTAATGTTTCTGAACCTCAACTGAAGCTAACAGAGAAACAGTGCAGACTATTTTGTTCTACATAGCAGAATCCCTATGTTTATACTGGGTTGTTTCCATGCTTGTCAGCACAAAAAGGCAGAAGACAGAGCAACTACTAAGCATTAACAGAGTGAACAGTGTCTCTGAGGTGAGGTGTCAACATGGTGTTCTTGACTCTGAGAAGCTGCTGACCCACTGGACAGGCAGTATTCCTCCTTGGTGAAGTGGGAAACACTGGCAGGTCTGAGCATGCAGTCTTAATGAAATCAGTCAGGTGAAGAGCAACACATCATTGCACTGCTTGGACCTAACTGGATGCTTATCAGGCCCGCTGCTTAGTGATCCCACAACAACAGGTAGAGACATTCCACTCTCTGGACCTGGAAGAATGTATGTGCCACTTACATGTTTGTTTTGTTTGGAACAAATGAATTGATTTCAACCTGTAGCCTTAATTACAGCAACTGTTCTAACATTTTCCTGTGTTCCTAAGTGTCCCAAGGAGTTTCGTCTGTTGCAGTTTAAGTGAATATTGTAGCTTAAAACAATATGTCTGGTTCAAACTGCACTTATTATAAATAATGCATCAAGGGATAATGTAAAAGATTTTGCCTGTCGTGATTAATCCTTCGTGACGAAGCATCAACTTTGCTCTTCTTCATGTTTTGTATTGAAGTCAGACAATGCAGATACAAAGGCGGATCAAAAAGTTTTGAGACTGTACGCAGTGCGAATCAACAGTGTACAGTAACTGTCATGATATTACATGACATTACATTATCAACAACAGAACCTGTGTGGCACACATTTTTGTGACCAGTAGTAGGTGTGCGTCTCGGATTACTCCATGGACCTCAAACTGGAGCAGCGAAGAACACATCACATTCTGTGTAAGACAACAAACATCAGGTCTGGAGTGCACCGGGAGCATGTTCATTGTTTTCTTAAACATTCATGTGGTTGTGCACTGGGAGTTACGCCTCTTCAGTCACAACCTGAACTATGAAGCTCTCCCAACTTCTTGAATTGACTTTTCTTGACAATCCTCTCCAGTCTGCCATCATTCTTGTCACTTGTGCAACTTCTCCTACCACACTTTTCCCTTCCAGTCAACTTTACATTGATATACTTTGATACAGCACTGTGCCAACAGCCAGCCTTTTCAACAAGGACCTTCTGTGGCCTACCTCCTAATGAAGGGTGTTGATGATCATCTTGTGGACAACTTTCACATAGGCAGTCTTCCACAGGATTGTATGTACTGAATTAGACCGAAAGATGCACAGTGTTTTTGCTGTTTGAATAGCAATTTACTCAAACTTGAAATAACAATTACAAACTACAAACTACAGTTTGAGATGCTGGATTTCTGATTCTCATGAGTTGTATAAAGTTTTTATACTTTCTGTCTTAAATGCTTGTCTACATAAATATCAGATTTTCTCAACAGTAGTCAAATGCTGTTTTTCATTTGTTTGTCATCTTATTTTGTTTCTCTCCCTCAATGGATGTTGCATTCCATGTGATTAAGACAGATCAAATTACTATAGACAAAGGTGCTGTGGCACAGACTTGTGGCCTTTGAGTGCCCTCTATTGGTTCTTCAGTGTTACAGCAGAAAGAACTATAGGGAGAACACAAAACATGAAAAGACAAGGCAAGCATCTTGTGGTGACTGTGGCAGAGTTGGTAGAGCAGGTGCCCCAAAATCACAAGTTCACAGGTTTGATATCCACTTCCTACTGTATTGAACTATACAAGCTGCAGCATATGCTATTGTATATACACTGCTGCCCGTTTATTATCATACCCTCGGTCCAGGATGGAATTATGACTATATCCAGGATATTCCAATAAGCGGGCTTCAAGAAAAATGGGAAAATGGGAAACATCAAAGGGACAGTTTCTTGGAGATCAAGAAGCAGATCCCAGGTGAGCAAGTAATTGACAAAGAAACCAACACATTGCCTTCCGCGGCTGACCAGGGTGTGATAATCTGCCATGCATGACCGACGCCATAATGATCGGCCAACCATGACTTTAAACAAGCAAAAGTTATTCCTGGAATCAATTTTGGGGAATTTTGTTATGACAGAAACCGGGATTATGACATTATTCTATGACAATAAATGGGCTGTTTCACTGTAGGTTATATAGGAAATGATTTAGGACTTCGACATGTCATGATTATAAATGGGATATTCTATAAAGCGGTATGACATTAAGTGGGCAGCACTGTATATTATTCTGATAAGTGTTTTGTCAATCCATACTGCTACTGTATGTCTGAACATGCTCTGCCTGTTTCTTGTGTCATTCTAGGGCTCTTGTGTACCTCAGCTCAGCAACATAATGTTTGCTGTTAAGTTAACACTGGACAGAAACCACCACCTTGCAAGGTCTGTGGAAATATAAATAACAACCAAAATAAACAATATTAAATAATGTTCACACTTTTATAATGCTAAACATGTTATATTTTTTTAGCTGACAAGGCCCTCCTGCATTTTCTTTGTCCAATGGCAGCCCAGGGATTCAGCCACCGATGGAAGTCGCATCTCCGAGAGTTCAAGCACAGCAAGAGGGGCTCGAGTTTGACTACAAAAGACAGTGAAAGAGGCAAGGCAGAGAGAAAAGCCAGAAGAGGGCCACACAAAAGTGTTACAATGGCAGCCACCTCCAGGTATCTGACAGACAATCAGTATGTGATGCGAAAGCCTCTGTTCTCTGCCGAAGAGCACACATCTATCTTAAAGAAGACACATCCACAAAACTCCACAGAGCAGGTGAGGAGAACAGAGATGAAGGGAGTTCTCACAGAAAAATTTTATTTTTTCTCCTTGAAAATGAAACAGCATGTTTTGAATTGTAGCAACGACACGCCCCTTTTGGACATGTACTCTGTTATGCAAATACATGGATAATTTTCCATGTCAGTCTGATAAAGGGCCATGCATGAAGAAGTCATTGTTCTTTGAAAGTCACACATCAATTTAATTAAGTCAGACCTAATAATATGTTCATAACACTTCCAGCATTTGTCAGGTCTGAATCCCATCACATTAAAGTAAAAGTTGCAGCTGCAGCTCAACCAGCTTACATGGATGACTTATAAATAGTAATTTAATATTAGGGCCAGAAATAATAAATAATAATGTTAAATATCAACTTCTGAAATAAAGTTAAAATTTCAAGAAAAAGTTTTAACATGAAAAAAGTAAAACTATGCTTTTTCTGTAAAAAAGAAAAAAAAAAAAAGAAAGTAACAAGGTAAAGTTATAGTTGTGCAAAAAAAACATCATATTAAAATACCAAAGTCGTAGTTTATGAGGAAACACTTGATACTTTGAGAAAATCAGTAAATTGCTTACACTGCACTATAACTGTTACACAGGCTAAACCACTCTCATATTACTCACATGAGTATTAAAATAAACAAATCAAATTTACAGCTTTGTCCAACTAAACAGACTACACTGCTCTCACCTGTCCACCACAATGAGGTACTAAAGTAAATAAATCAAATTTACAACTTTGTCTCATTATGACAATAAATATTTTTGTCAGACATTTGCTTGTTTGCTACCTAAATATTCTACATATACAACCCTTTACCCACAGTGACTTTCTAGGAATTTCATGAATAATAAAACAATCTAATAAATTCTGACATTGATGGCAGTAAGTACTATATTAATATTTAAAAGGTTTATTTGTATACTATGCATGTAGTTGAAATCCTACCATTATAATTTCTTATTTATGTCTGTTTCCTGCATGTAGAAGAAACAATTGGATGTTACCAGAAGAGAACATACTGACATGAAATTCCTGACCAGACCAAGAAAAGCACTAATCCCAGAGAGCTTCAACCGCTATGACAGTGACATCTCACCTCCCTCGAGAAAAGACCTCAGCTCACCATTGGGTGCCTCTGAGCTCCAGACCCGGCTGTGCCTTGAAGAACTTACTTTTCGATCACCTTTGGCTGACAGCAGAACGGCACAACAGAGCCCCTCAAACTCCATCCTGGAATCCCAGAGACTTAAACCTCCTCTGAGGCCACAGCTGACCTCCACAGTCTTGTATCCTACCTACACCCCTCGCTCAGAGTATTCCAGGTCAGGCCAGACTCAGCTTCGGCTAGGAGGGAGGGAGGGAAGGGGTGGATGGGAGACCAAAGTAGGTTCTCTGAAAGAACATTCAAAAGGAGGCCCTGAGTCTCCCTATCAAGCAAACTACTGGGCCTGTGCCATCCCTAAAGCTTTACCTCCATCTCCAGACAGACACTCTGCATCCTGGGATCCAAATAAAGAGTACCAGACCCTGCTGAACTACACTTATCCTCTAAGACCAGGACAGGTGGTCAGTGAGCAAGACAGCTTTGAAGTCCAGACAGAATCTTTACTCCAGACAGACCCCAACCTGCAGGACTCCGGAATTGAATTGAACCACTTTTGTAGCTCCACTAGCCTATCAGGGTTGGACTTTTCTATAAGTGGGACAAGGCACACCAGAAAAAGAAGCACTCATAGTGCAGGTCATAGGTCACCTGAGCTGCAGGACTTCACCAGATCCTCAGATGGTCCGCTCTCAAGTTCCCATCTCTCTCTTATGGACCCCATGATTATGTCCTTGGACAGTTTGGACAGAGGTACAACAAATTGTTACAAAAGTGATGGTCGCTATCGTCAGCGCCATGTGCAGTCCTCATCCTACTCCACCTCCACTGCTTTTATTCGCTCCACCAGTGTTCTTTCTCAATCTGGGTGTGTGTGTCGCGAAGTGGATGAGGAGTTTTGGCCCCTTCCAGAGCAGCTGGAGGAGCTGCAGCTGCTGTCCAAACAGGTCAGTGCTGTGGACACTCAATGACTTTCACTCAATTTACTACAAGTCAATGTATTAAACCGCAATTATGAAAAGGGTTTTGTTTTTCAGCACTCTGCTTGGTGGTGCATTCAGAGACACCTCAACATTCTGAAACAGTCAGCTACTGAAAATCCTAACAATTATGATTTTATAATGTCAACAACTGTGAAGGGCAGTCGGAGAATGGTGAAAATGATTACATAAATGTGTTTATTAAATGGCAACATTTGCAACATGAATATCTTGTGCATTTGTGTAACAGTATAACACACTGCATGTTGATTCTTTAACAACAGTCCCTTGCGTGCAATAATAGCATAATATTGACGAAACTATGAAGCTGCATTGTGATCAGCAACAACAATCAAGCCTCAACACATGAATAACTGGAAGGTAGTTATTTTTCAAAACATGGCTGACCATCAAGTCTAATATGAGGGACTTTGTTGTAAATAAGCTAAAACATGAAACACTGTTGGTGTGGTCCGTTAGTGCTAAGGTATAGTCACAGCAGTTACCTTGACCTCTTAAGACTTTTATCTGATCATTCTGGTTTTCAGTGTCTTTTCAGTAATGTGCTGTGGTCCTGTCAGGCTTAAGAACATTGTAATTTATGAAATGGTCTGACATCAAACACAGGAGACAAGTCTGGAGCTGTGCACCCACTCAAAGTTAGCAAAAATACCAAATATGTCAGGCTCAGTGCTGGTGAAATGTATATAAAAAGATACACAAACACCTGGAATATTAACAAGTTTCTAAAAATGTGCTGTAAAGAAAGACTGTTGTTATTATTGTTGTTATTATTATTATTAATAATAATAGTAA